CAAAATCTTCTTATTCAGAGCACCTAAAATTGAGACTTTGATGCATTTTGGTTAAATTACAAAAGAATCAATAAATGTGTTGCAATTAATTAGGGCCAGGTGAAACCAGAATTCAGGTCTCCTGAATGGACCATAATTAGAGCGATAACCTTACAATTTCTCAAGGTCTTCAGTGAGAATGACTTATCACTTACAGCTATGTCTTTCCCTGAGGTATCTGAGGTGGGAGGCCAAAGGCATTGATACTGGCTAACCACAGGGAAAAACACCCAGTTTGATATTCATGGTAGAGGAAATGGAAGATAACTAATGAGCCTGGAGCCTTAGCAACCACAGATTTCTGAACACCCATCATGGTTCGCAATAACAGCATCTGTATTCCCCCAAACATCCTCCTGCCACCATCTGGAGATCCAGTGACCACAATATGTTACCATCTTCACTGTAATTCTAAATAGAGCATATCTATTAGATGAATGTCAACCTTAATTAAAAGTTTCATGGCTCTCCACCCTGTTCTTTATTTTTTGTTATACTTGGCTGAGAATGACAAGGATTTTTAAAACTGAATGCCTACACCAAGGGACAGACAACTACTTGAAACAATCTCTGAGCAGAAAATATGAGGCAAATAATCCTGGTGCTTTTCTATTTCCCACTAGGTGCATTAATATTTTTCTTTCTCTTGTCATTTAATCCTTTTATTCTCCCTACATACATACATTCTCTCTTTTTCTTGTTCACTTGTTCCAGCTACCTCTTTCACCCTCCCTCTTCACACTCTGCTCTCTCTTGATGTCCTTATTTTTACTCTGTTCCTTGTCTCTTACCTTTTTCTCTTCTTCATTTCCAGGTCTTTTGGTCCATTGCTCAGTCCCTCCAGCAGGGTCTCAGAGAATGTGATTAGGAATGTTTCTGCAAAAAGACACAAATGCAAAGCAAAAGCATTGAGTTTCCACTGAAATGGGGATTTCCCAGCCTGGTTGTTATGGCACTCCACCAGAACTATAAAATTCTTTCAGAAAAATATCAAAACATAGTTTGTTCTAATTTACCTTAATTTATAAAGTACTCAGATGCTCTGAAATCCTTTTTAGAGAAAAAGTAGTAGGAAAGAGTAAGGTGACCTTAAATTAAGTCAAAGATGTGTATAATAATTCTGGGGAAGTGTTGGGAGTCAACACTTTTAAAATATCCTATTTTTCCGTATATTTTAAAAATAATTTTAGTTCTTAACCTACTATGAGCATTACAATATAATTGACAAACCATAAAACATAATTTCCATGTAATTTTTCATGTAAAGACATCCCAAGTGCCTAGACTGAAAATTCAAATGTTCAAAGGCATTTTGGAACAGTAATATATATATATTTTTAAATTGTTTTTCATTGCCAAACTTGGCTCTAAAATTTAAAAGGTAAAATTCTAGGTCACTGAGAGTTCTGTACAAAATTCTGCTAATGTAAAATGAATTTTTTCTGTTGAATTATTTGTTGAAAAATGCTATTTTTTTAAAAAATGCTAATAGAAAGTAATTATTTTCCCTTAAAATGGTAGGATTTTAGTATATTTTCTTAAATGTACGCTTTTCTTTTACATTCTACAATAAAGAAAAAGACTAAATCTTCCCCCCAAAATCAAAAGCTTGAAAGCCAGTTCATGTTTAGGTTTTCAAAAAGTGATGTAAATCAGAAATTCCCTCAAATGACATTCATTGATTGTGTGGTGTTTTTGCTATTTTGTTAGCTTTCCTCTTCTATAAGCTTCTTTTTCAACAAAGTTCTCTGGGAAATTGTGTCCTCTTGTGGTCACTGGCAAAAACAACATGTTTTTCAAGGAAGAATCAATCCAAACAATGGAAATAGGAATTAAGGCTTCAGGAAGAGCCATTTGTGAAAAAAGGAAATCCCTTGAAGTGAAGAGAGATGAAAATTGTGAGTAATTGGAAAGGAAACTTTAGCTGGAAAAACACAGAACGTAAATCATTCCATTTATATTTAAATTACTTGATCATCAGATGATTAAAAAGAAGAGATAAAAATGCTTACTGTGTAAGAAGATTGTGGCCACAAGAACAGCCTTTATGAATAACTGTATTTCTTACATTATTTCTTCAGTTATTCCAGCAACTCTGAAATGAGTAAAGTGAGAGCATATTTCAACAAGGTTAAGAAGCTGGAACACAGACTTTCTTGCATGCATACCCAATAAGGTAATACAGGGTAGGGGGAAGACACTTCAAGACTATATACTCTTCCACACTCTGATTCTTCTTTCCGTACAAGTTTGATATATTATTTCTCCGTATCTCATCCTCATTTTGAGTGCAGAATATTAGCTATTTTAAAGGTTTTATTTATTTGAAAATATGGCTCATTTGAAGTGCCCTTGGCAACTCAGTGTCTTGGGCTTTATACTTTTTCATTTTATTTCTGGATTGGAAGCTTCAATTTTCATAATTTTAGTTCCTTATTCTTGGAGAAATTCAGACAGGGAAAAGTAGAATCAGTTAAATTCATGAATTAAACTATCATTAAAAGAGAAAGAGAATGACCTCTTATTTAGGGCAAGGTGTTCAAACATTCTTAAAGCTACCTGTTTCACTGAAGAAGAAACACTGAGTTATCCAAGTCACCTGTACTGACACAAACTTTATATTCCACTTGAACAAAACTTTCTTTTAAATATCAAACTAAGCAATCCCTGTGGAGTGTTCAAAATAAGATGAAATCGAACATGTAGTCTCATCTAAGATGCACTCAACTGCAGCGTTTTCCAATCTGCGCCCTCTTCTGTGTGAATGGTCCTGTGCTTCATTCATGCAATCCAGAGAAATTATTTCGCAGAACTCTAAGCCAGAAGACAGGTGGTATGTCATCCAAAAACTGAGGAGAAAGAATCAGAACAGATTTAAGTACTCACTTTCTGTGCAAGCCCCAACTCCAGTATGTACCAGCTTGCTAACAATTCTATAGTGTGTATGTGTTTCTTTTCCCTCTCTAAAAGTATTTATAAATGTTGCTAAGAGAATGCCAGTGCATATTCAAGCTCTAAAAAGAACCAGATACATACATACTTATTGCATATGCTGATTATGAGATTCCTAACTCTGTTACTTTTAACAGTATTCTTTTTTCAATTTTTAATACAGCACACATTCCTCAGGAAGGATACCAAGTTTGCAGTTTGAAAACAAAGCTCGTTTTGAATTATCTGAGTGTTTTCAGTTAATTTTTTAGGGGATTTATTTTAGAAGTAGATGAAATGATCTAATTCCAATTAATGCAGTATTCCCAAGGAAGGTAGTCTTCTAACATCCTTCAAGTCAGGCTAAGTCCAGTCCCAAAGGGAAATTTCTAAGACCCCTTTTAAGAACCTGAAATTAAGATTTTAAAACTAAGTAAGCTTTCAAATGTTAAACCAAGTATTGTGGAAGTTATCATTATTGTTGCATATATAAAATATTTAGTATTATTTGGCTCTTCAGCACGTAAGAAGACAGCTTACCTTATTCTTGCCCCAGCAAGTATGGATAAGAAATCTGGTAGATAAAATATTAAGCAGAATATAGATGGGACAATCAGGCCAGGAAATGATGCAGTTTGCAAAGTAAGGAGTGTCAAGCCTTAGATGTTTTGAAAGGCAATTCATTTGGCAAGCTACAACCTTCTGCTTAAAACGTAACATATAAATACTCAAAACCCCTCATTCTCATCCTCTACTTCTTCGAAAAGTTCAAGAGAAAATTATTCTCAGAACTGAAGGCATTCATCGTGGCTCTGTCAAGAAGACTCTGCACCCGGGACTGGTTCTTGTTAGCTCATTCATTTTAAACCTTCTTCTAAGCATTCCAGCATCCATAGCATCACCTCAGTCCTGGGGATCCCTGTACCCAGTGGCTGAATGCTCTTGATCACCTAGAAGTTGAGTGTCCGGAGAAGGGCTGGGCTCGCTTGTTTAAGAACTAGTCTTACAAGATTGATGACTTTGCAAGTCGGGCTAACTAATGATCCCTGGCTGCTGCGCTGTTGCGGACTCGATTTCTCCTCCAGCTTCCCCTGCCCCCATTCCCATCCCCGTCCCCTTCACCCCAATTCCCCTTGGTCAGGTAAGGTTTCCTTTACACTTTGCCCACACTTTCCTGTCCTTGCTTACCCATAGCCACAAAGGAAAGAGTCCAATTATTTGATCTCTTTATTTTTGAGTATTCAGCTAAAGGGGAAACCAAAACAAAACAAAATTAAGATTTGACATTTTTGGTCTTTAGAAAAAAAGCAGAGATAGGTAAAGGTGGAAATTTTTCGAGATATCTGCAGCCACGTTCAAATAAGAATTGCGAGATATTCTGCAATTCAGATTTACAAAAGATAGCACAGCAGAGAGTAGGGCAGGATTTCTGCCTGTTCTCTAACTGCTTCCGAAAGATCAAATCCTCTAGGCAGAAGATACAATCACAGCAGCGACTTATCTTTTTGTTTTAAGAAGACCTGCCTGTGTACTATTAAGTGGAGGTCAAGTAGACTAATTTTCAGACAGGCTTTCATTTTAAAGTGTGGAACCGACTCGCGAAGCAGACATGTTGGCACGCTGTAGTTACTGTCTGAAAGTTTGTAAAAATAGTGACGGACAAACCCTGCAAGTTGCCCCTCCCAGGAAAGCTTCGACTTGTTCGCCCCCCGCGGAAGGGATTCTTCTTGCCCTCACTTCCCCCATAAGGCTGCGCCCTTCGGCCTGCCCCAGGCACTCCAGAACCCGGAGTTTCCGGGACCGAAGCTGCGAGCCTCAGCGGGGCACAGCCACGTGGCCTGCCCGCGCGTCGCCTGGGCTCCCGCCTCCTCCTCCAGACACCGTGGGCCGCGACCCTCGGTCCGGCCTAGAAAGGGCTGTTTCGCTGACTTAATTCGTGCCTGCGAGTCCAAACCGTGTAGAGTGTGAGCGGACCTCGGCCTGCGCAGGGTACCGGAGCGCAAGGTACACAACTTCCACACCCCAAAATCCGCCTGAAAACCCAACTACTGCTTTTGACCTCTAGTTTGCTTTGCAACGTAAGGAATGAACATGAAATGGTTATTCTAGCCTAACTGGTTCCAAAATAGGAAAAAAAAAAAAGTCTAACAGTGCAAAGATGGGCATCTCTTCTACAGCGGCTTCCCTTCCCTTCCCTTCCAGCTCACCAACTTTTGTTGCTTCCGACTTGCCAGAATCTGCATTAACACCCTCTTAGGGGCTTTTCGTTGTTACTTATTAGATAGAAACGCTTAAAATGGTAAAGTATCCAAATAACTGGGGTGCGTCTGGGGAACTCGAAACATAATTGCCCACAGGATTTCCTAGAAGTAGGGGGAGGGAAGGGGGAAGGGGCTCTCGCAGCCGTCGGCCCCGCGTGTCCAGGCAATGTTGAGCACCCATCTCACTCTCTTATAGCCGACCTTAAAAGTCACAATGCAGGGCCTTAACTGAAAGGGGGTGGGGATGAGATGGCCACAGGGTCCTCCAGCTTGGGCTAGCAGTTCAGGCAATCAGGGCCGCGGCGAAGACGCTGCGCTGCCCACCTTCGACCCTGCTGCCTTCTCCATGCACAGGACCGCCTTCCGCGGGAGAACGAACTTCTGCCTTTTTTTTAGCACCTTCGGAAGTCTAGTCCTTTGGGTGTTGGGAAGTGATAGATTGGTTCATTGTGGAGGCAAAAGAAAGGCCCTGATGCTTTTTGGGAAGGGTGAGAGAACAGGCCGGACGCAGATCTGCAGTTCTCGACGTGGCCACGTCTTCATAAACGCCCACGAGCTTAGGGCCAGCCACGGTGGTTTGGCCCTTGGGACTCCAGGGGCCCGTCTACCTGACCATCGAGTGGGCTTCGCCGTTGTCAGTTTTCTGGCCATTCCCTCCGCCCCAGCAATCCCAAACCCGCCCCACGGACCCAGAGAGTACTGGGGCGAGATGAGACTTCACCCACTGCGTAGAAGCTGTTGCCTCCGCTGCTGTCACAGCCACTCCGG